CTGTTTGCTCTTTAGGATTTCTAGATATTGCTCTATCCTGTACCCTAGTTTACCCTACCCCCTGTAATCAATAAAGTTCTCCTTTTTGACTGGTGTGGGAGACTTATTGAGGGGTGGGTCTAAATTATGCCTAAGAGACCCCTTAGGTCTGTGGACTAAGGGAAACTATACCTTTTTGCCCCCGGACTTGGGGAAGTACCCCAAGTGCCTGTGCTGGGTTGAGTACCCGTGGGACTTTAGGCCTGTGTTACCCCAAGGACACAGGGCCGCGAGACAGTCCATTCTTGGGGTGGTGGCGGCACGTTACCCCCAGACTAGCGAGTGTGCTCTGGGAGAGGGGTTGGCCGGACATAAGGCACCCCTAGGGAGGCATTTGGAGCCTGGAAGGTGCCTGGAAGGTGGTCGGGTGCAGGGAGGTGGGCGGCTCAACGCAGGAGCACCCCCTACTGGCCCACCTCACGTGGTGGAAACAGCAGAGGGATATGAATACCCAGCTGTGTTCCTGAGGTGGGATCTCTGCACCCGCCACAGCCCCCTTTCCATGGCAGGGGATAAGGGAGGAAGAGAGACCTGTATTGTCACCAAAATGCAGCCACCTCTGGGTGATGGCAACAGCTCTGGAGAAGAGTACTGGTAACTACATAACAGGGCAAGGCTTCCCCTGAAGGTAAGCAAGCTGCTCAAAAGGCAGACAGGATGCAATTACTGTTAAAATACCAAATCCTGATGCAGGCTGGTCTCAACAGACATGATGAAGACCATTCAGGTGGCCAGGGGGACAGCAAGAAGCTAAAACAAGGGTCAGTACCAAAGTATCAACACAGGATGGATTGATGGCCCGAAGGGAGGAGGGCGGTTGTTTTCCAAAGTACACGGAGTGGCACCGAAGGCCAGAAGCTGCGCTTTGCATTAGCAACACTGTTAAGAAGGACCACGGAGCATCGAAAGTGCTTGTGCAGCATGTTCCGTGTTCGAAGTCCTTGATGAAACGTTAACTATTTAACACTTTTTGGCACAATACACAAACAGGAAAAACTTATCTGGAGCTTTCCCCCCTCACCACTAGGGATCTCTGGGATGTACCAGGTACATTCTAACAGCAAAAGGAAGATTTATATCTTACAAGAGTCCAGAATGCATTTTAGCACGGAGTCTGGTGGGTTTTCTTCGCTCTTTGGAAACTGCAAAAGTCTGAGGAAAATACTGCTAAATACAGCTTTAAAAGCCATTAAAGCAAGTCAGCTGAGCACTCAGCCAGCTACTGTGTGGCAGTTCACATAGAAGCAGAATGAGGATCTCCTGTAAGATTAAGGCTGGGCAGCTGCAACCATGTGAAGGCAGCCAGAAGCCACTAGAAACAATGCAGGCAGACATCCCCTGGGGACACTCTTCATTTATTTGCTTCCCACCCCATGAGAGACCCCAAGGCCCCACTCTAATATTAACACCCTCTCAGCCCGAGAGGCTCCTTCCCTGTGCTTCAGCCTCTGCAGGGCAAAGATGGGGCTGCTTCTGGCCCCACAGAAATGCCCTGAGATTGAAATGCCCTCCCTTTTCTAAAGGCACAATAGGAACCTTAGACAAAAGGCACTGTTAGAGTCCAGCAACAGGAGGAATATGTGGACCGCACTGCGCCTCGCAAGTTCCAGCTGCAGGGTCCTTATTTGAATCCATGAACGCTTATAACCAGGAAGACTGTCTGTTGAACTGTCAAATTAAAAGCTCCTCACAAAGGACAGAAGATGCTGAATCAGCACAACACTTACGGGCATTGCCCTGATCACAGCCATGTTCAGAGATGGGACGAGCTTGGATCTGGTGTCTCACGCCAATTATAGTCGGCAGAGACCTCAGCAGTGATAAAGTGCAAGCTCCTCCACCCCGCTGGGCCCCAAGAACAGCATGTTCCCCTAGTTTTACACTGACAGCGCTGGCTCCTACTATGCCACTTGCTTGCATTGTTTACATTTTTAAGTCAATTTATCATGGCCCATCAAGTGGGGAATGGCTGCACCAAAAACACAAGCCCTTTTCACATCTCCTGCAGACGGCTCCACAAAGGAAACATTCATTAGAGACTGGACCACGAATAGCCCTCCATTCAAAATAGCTGCTTGCTAAACAAGCCAAGGAAAGGGACAATGAGCCCTTTCAGAGCAATCACAACTGAGGTGGGCACAAAAGAAATGCCACAGCATAGTAGAAAGCCCTCCCCTTCCCCACAAGCAACAGAACCAGAAATTCAGGTACAGTTAACTCAAGCACTAGCACATTAGGAAGGTCAAAGCTGCAGGACCCACGCAGGTCTTTAGTCATTAGCCTATTATATCAGGCACACAACTGCCTCAAAGCAGTATTAGGTACTGCACAGGTGTCACCTGAGGCTACAGAGGTACAATCACATGGTGTCACATCATACTTGTTCTCCAGTAGATCAGGTCGATGAGTGCTTTTGGTTTTTAGGAATGAACCTGAGCAAACGTGCCTTTTACCCAGGCTGGCAGTCACAAGGAGTTAACAAGGGACATAGGCCAAGATGCAGTTCTGCCCTATCCCCATGTTGTGAGAGACTATATTTTACTGCCAACAGATCAACGCTGACCCACTACTATTAGGGTACTCAGGTGTGGCTATTTTTACTTGGGGGAAACTTCACTTTCCTCTCTCAGCAGCAGCATCCTGTGACGCTGCATAAGGAGCATCTCTCTTTTAGGGAGATGCAGAGGCAGGCACTGGTGCTGAAATCAAGGGAAGGGGCAGGTTTTCTGCACCATGCTCTTGGAAAGCCCCAGAGGTCAGAATTGCAAGCATGGTGGTAACTCAGGAGTCACCCACATCCCAGTGGCACTGCAGAGAGAAGAATTAATCTACACACTTTACCCAAAAGGAACATCCACCTCACGTATGACCCAACTTGGGGAAG